CACAAAAGTGTTCGTCTTTCAAGGGCGTAAACTAGATTGATTTTATTAAATCCCAACTTCATAAACCATAGAGAGCAGGCTTGGTTTATAAATTTGTATTGAATACCATTAGTTACAATAAAATAATACAACATATATTATGTAAAAATATGAATCTGCTAATGTGAACTTTGAAATATCAATGATCTCGTATATCTCAACATTCTCTTTAACATATTCACATTTCCGGAAAGTCTGCAAAATGAAATATATATTTTCAAATGGAAAAAAAAACTAAAAGAAAGTGATGTCGTTTTGCAAACGAAGGAATAAAAAATATCAAGATCTATCGTCGGTTATTAACACTAGATTTGTATTTACATATTTATAGTTACATATTTATTTAACTGCATCTATCAAAGCGATTCGGATATTTACCAAATAATGTTTATACAATTCAGTATGACTCAAATTGACTCGTTCCGCAAATCTAATTTTAATAAATGAAACTTTTAAGTATGATTTACGGTTTACAATCGCAGCCATATCGTATCCATAATTTAACTTTTTTATTTGATCTCTTCTTCCCCTACCCTCAGTTCATATTTCATCTGTTCAATTTTTTACGATTTTCCATCACGTATTACGAAATTCTTTCTCGCGTTTTACGTGAGTTACATTTTTTAAATATTTCTATACCAGACTTTTGATTTACTATCTTGACTTTCACCTCCTCTACATTTCTCCAACTATTCCGGTTTTAGTACCGTCCTTATATACCTGCATATCTTATTACATGTACTTTGCTTTCTGCATTCTAGTTCTTTCTGCGTGTTTCACTCCCTCGGTACCTGAGTTACGTTTATATCACGCCACCTTATCGTTCTGACTCCGGTTGACTACACTCGTTTCTCTTCACGTATAGTTCTCATTCTTGGCTGCTTCTAGTCACACTGCTGTTTTTCTTTTTCCCTTAAAGTATTTTCAAACGCATCTCTTCTGAATATACTTTTCAACCCTTTGCCCTATAATATCGTGTCAGAGTCATGGCGAAGATTTCAGATAAAATTTAATACTAGATTTACGCACATTTACTGTACAGTTTGTTCTATCTCTCTTAACAAAATTGATATTCATTCACTTAAATCTTGGAAATTAGAGGTTTAACAGTGTACAATTAGGATATATATTTATGTAATTGAATCAATGAAAATCAACCCAGACATTTACTAAATAATGTTTATTCAAATTCGATATGAGTCAAATTGACTCGTTTCGTAAATCTAGTGTTAACAAACATAAATGTCACTTAATTACTTCAAGTCCAAATTAAATATTATTCTTCTACTATCAATTATAATACTTTAGGGTAAACGTACATTTAAAATAAGTGTAGAATTTGTTCTTTTTCTTAAAGAATTAGGAAACAATGAAATATTTATGTCGATTTCAGTTTGAAAAGAAATCATAGTGCAAAGGGTTAAAAAAGTTACCACAGTACATGTGAATTTTTTTAACGTCTGTTTAAATGATCAACGATGTATCAAACAAATCGACGTTTCTCCTATGTTGTACAAATACTGTTAATTTCATTGAAACAAGTATTCCTTCTATTCGTAAAAAATTATGTAAAACAATCGCAATTAGGTTATTTTAATAAATTGCCTAATAGATTTCTTGTACAAATTCCAAAAGTATATTTATAAAAATTTCGATTGGCTTATACTTTAAAATGCACGTAAGTAAATCAATTTATTTAAAAATTTCTCAGACAAATGTGTGTACCTTTTTATTAGTTGTACAAAAAGAAACAAAAATGAATAATTTTTATCTGTCTGATAATTAGACATAAGAATAACATATACAAAATAAGACAGGGTTAACTGGAAGCCATTCTAAGCTACAAAGTAGGAATTACGTATAATACATAAATAATAAAGTAAAAATATGCCTGATTGTTTGTTTTTGTACCGTTAATAAGGAATTGTAGTGTACCGTTAATAAGAAATAATATAATTGTACCGGTAATAAGGAAACGATAGTTTCATTGCCATTGTAAACAGATGGCATTTGAAGTTAAACATAATATAGAATTCATTATACCTTGCCCTGCGATTCATTTTAGCCTATATTAATTGGATCATAGTACTATGTCAAATCCGTTATGCGGCGAACATTGATGTTTCATTTGCCTAACGAGCGACGTATTACTTTCAACGTGCAGTGCATATTTCGATATACATTCCCTATTAGACAAATCGATAATAATATGCAATCCTTTGTATGTTCAAATTGAAAATCAATTCACGAGGTAAACGACGTAGTTAAGCGAATAAATAAGTGATTTAAGTACATGCAAAAATGAACATCCGTTTTTGTTAACAACCAATAACATTTAAGCATCGAATAATTAATAAAGTACCATTATTTTTATTTTTTTTTAATGGAAACGATAAAATTTCCAAAATGTTTCTTATCGAAGAATTTATATGCACAAGAAATAATTTTTAATTGCAAAATCGTGTCAAATTAAATTTCTAATAATTTATATGCTAATTTTCAGTAAATGGATTCATACAGATTTGCATGCTGGTATAATTCCTCTATTTTCCGCGAACATCTCACTACTACTTCATTTATTAATTAGTTTCCGCAGTAAATGAAGGAGACACTGATAACACATAAATCTCAACGTGATAATAAATTTCGAGAGTGACACTTTAAAGCCCGGTTGAGCATCCTGTTAATAATCAAGAAGTTCCGGTCGTAATTTTTCAAGTGGAAACAAGCGATATTAGTGAAATGATGGATCAAATTACTACAGGTATAGTGAACAAGAAGCTTAGTCTCTCATAGAATAAATATAAAATCGATGGAATATCGATTAAAAGACTTTTTAGGAATACTTTTTCAATGAACATAATAGCATGCTTTTGACTAATTATAAAACCAGGGAGTTTCATATTTTCATATAAATTCCTTATTGCCATAAATAGACTCATGATGTTCAGAACTGATAACCAATATACTTAACTTCAAATTCCATATGTTAATAGGTTAAGTACAATAAAACGAAAATGTTATAATAATAAGTTAAATTTTTATAACATAATTTTTTCTAATTGTCCCGTGTTACTCGTAATGAATAAACATGTTTTAAAAGAAAATACACGTATGTTTGATGAATCTTTTCCTTTCTTTCTACTGTATAAAAATACGAATTTAAAGATACATTAATTAGATCTATTACAAATACTTGTAACACGTAAAACACAGTACGTTTCTCTACATTTGATGCAATCGTATCTTAATGCCTTTTGTGAAGTAAGGAAATAATATTAGTATATAAAGTAATAAAGTATAAGTTGTAGAAACAATATTTATATGTATATATTTATGGCTTGAAATCTGTTTAACAGTAACAAATAAAATCAATCAAAATAAGTTCATAAATATGAGTATTGAATTAATACTTAATTCTCAATATTTAAACACAGATCCGAAATTAGATTCCATCGCGTATAAATTTTCTATAGATAGTGTGTCCTCACCATTATCCAAAAAATTACACAGCACATCGCAACAATCCATTTCGAAAGTACCGCAACCAATAAATTACTCCTCAGATTAAATCATCAGATTTCATATTGAAAAATGATCACGAGGAAAGGCTAACCCCATTTGCAATACAACGTCAACAGCACGCGCGCGAAATACGAACATTTTGAGTTATTACAGTCGACTGCTCCGTGTGTACAAGTGCGCGTACTTAGAGACGCGATCAGTTTTCTTAAAGGATTAATGAAACGACGTTCCGTAATAGCAAGCGCATTAATATTTAATTGCGGCACGAAATTCCCGACGGCCTGCGTGGCGTTAAGCGGCTACAGCAGACACTCACGTTTCGCCTTCGATTAATTTCAGTAATCTAACAAACCGTGCATTAACCATTCTAGTTAAAGTTGCTCTCGCAAACAAGAATTATTCAGCTAAACAAGCACCTCTGTTTCCATTAAGTCCGCCTAAGGGTACCTATATATATATAAGTAAATACATATATCGACTCGCACGCGCCGACAGAGTGTGCCTACATACGCGTGTGCGATCCCTTGCCGCCAAGGGAGCAAAGGGCAAATCTAAGTTCTCTGAGTTAACAGCCACCTATAATCTAGTTATTTATAATTCAGAAGTGTGGGACTATACATATCCTGCGTGGCCTTACATTCTACAAGACATACCAAGATCATCACCTCTTAATTATAATTGTACTTCGAAAATCTATAACATTGGAAATATTCATTACATTGCAAAAATACGTAATGTACTACTATTCCTTTAGCTACTTAACCAGTTAACTGTGTTTGACAAAATGATACTAATTCTTTTAACGACGAATTCTGTATTTTTTGAGATAAACATGTGATTTTTCTTCTTCATTTTGCTTTGATTTTTTATTAAAATATATCTTAGGTGTATTCGTCCTGCGTTTGGCTAGTGCATGCTTTATTTTTTGATTTTATTGCGCGCAGAACGAGAGATTTTTCAAACTAAATTCCACAGTTAACAGATTAGCCCGTCGAATAATTGGCTGCTAAATAAAAGTAAACAAGTTGTAGCAATGATTTCTTTTACTGGACACAGCCACAGAAGGACAGACATCGTTGAAAGAATTAATATCATTTTAATCTTTAAGATAATGTGTAGACTCGTCAAACGCCAGTACGTTTAGTGTTCATTTCAAGACAAAACTGCAACCGCAATTTTCTTGCTCTCGAAATTCGGTCTATTCCAATTTGTAGAACCAACCCTCGAAATATGTGACACGCGTAGCGGAACACCCTGCACACGTGTATATGGTGGATCGTACTGGACTGCCGCTTATGCGCAACGTCCGTCAGAGGGTGCGTATAATTGGCAATGGAATATTATTATTGCACGACGTGACACGATGCTGACGAAGGGAATTAACAATCAGAGAGACAAAGAGAAGGACGGAGACAGAGAAGTAGAGGGGAATCGTTGTCCATACGAGGATGCAGTCGTGAGATTTGTGTGACTGCGTGCAAAGCTAACGATACATCGTGTGAAACACGTTAATGACGCGCTTCAGGGAAACGAAAATTTAAGTATGTTAGAATTATTATAATGACTGTTCCTACAACCTACTGAAACCTCCTTTCTCCCAATTAAGTTTATATAAAGTGACTAATAATAGGTTGTTCTATATTTGAAACAAGTGAAAAATAAAATTTGTTTGATTAAGACCTCATTTGTGATAAAACAGTTTCATCGTGCTAATAATAATAATTATTCGAAAAGTGTAAAGTAAAAGTGTAAGTGTATGTTTGATAAATTTTTAATCAAAGTACGTATCTCGAAATGAAAGTAGCTATTAAACGACAAAATTGTATTGCATATGTTTTACCAATTTTTGTTCGTGTCACAATTTTTACTAATTATACATTAGCAAATACTCAACAAGTATTCAGCTACGATTTTATTAAAAAGAAGGTATTTAAAAAAGACACTTTAAAAAAGAATGGAAAAATCCTTTTTAAATATAACTAATAATGATTGTAAAGTATTCATTTAAAGTTTTATCTCCTGGAAAGAGGATATTTCACTGTAATTGTAAAATTTTTATATTTAATTTATATTTTTTTAATGGCCGTTAGTAATTATAAAATGTACGTTTGGTGAAAAATATTCTTGGAGCATTTTCATGTAATATTTGCGTTCTAGTAGCAGTCAAAGTTCAAAGATCTGTTAACAATAGCACATTCTTCTACGCAAATGCATGCGAAGGAGGAACCATACAGGTGCACCAAGAGTTTGTCGTCATATCCTGTTCGACTGTTGCATTTTTCATTTTGCAAACACTATAACATTCGCAATGGAGTAATGAAATTGAAATGAATTTATATTTAGATTCAAATAAAAGTGGTACAAAGTTTCAACTTACATTAGAATACAGAAAATAATTAAAAGAAATAAAAAAACCAGTTTACCAAGATTTAGATCTTCTTTTACCTTTTAATACAACACTTTTAGTTTCAAAATACTTCACTGAGAAAGTAAACCGAAATTAATGATCGATGGTATTGAGAAATACTTTTGTCAGAGTACAAATTATTCACAATTTTTTACCATAAAAATACATATTTGTCACGGTTTTCAAGATTTCTTCAATCCAGTGTACATTGCATCAAACTAAAGAAAATCTGTGAATTATAGTAAGTACACTGCGAATCTTCATATAAATTCAACTTTTTATAAATACCATTTTTAAAAACGTAACATTGCTGTAGAAAATGACTGTTCCTAAGAAAAATTGTAAAAAGCACTACACTTTGGATATTTCATATATTTATCGTATCGAATGCACTTTAATCTTGCACTTTCAAATTTTCCATAAATGCATAAGAATCCACAGTCTAGTAATGAGTGTCAATGAAAATTTATTTCAGCGTTATAAAACATTGACTTCGAAGTTCAAACATTTTTTACATTTTGCCTCGATTAATCCCCTCAGTTTGCTCTCGTTGGATGCCACGATATTTACATTGGGCGTTAGATACCCACGTAATTAACAATCCGGATATCTAAGTGATATGTACATACCCGGCTACCCGGATAGTGTCCGGATACGCGGGTAATATGGTTACATCAGAGCCATACGTGAGGTATTAACACTAAAGACATTGGGGCCAACCCAAATTTTGCAACTTTTATTTGAAATTTAAATTTTCTTCCGTTTAAGTGTAAAAGCCATATTTCAGCGATAACTCAACACTTTTGTGTATTTTGTTTCAATAATAAGATTAACACAAAAAATACAATTCCAAACTAATTAGAATTCTGTGTAGAACATTTTTGAGATGAAATGAAATTGAAAATTTTACTTAACTCGAAAAGTGAAATGTTACATGGGGGTTACTGCTCATTATAACGACTCGACAGACTCGGCTAGTGTATCATAGACCCTTCCTTCAGATTGAAAAATGAAAATAATTCAATAATTAAAAAGTGATTTATTATTTTCTAAAAATACAAAATTGAAGCAAGTTCTTTTTTCTTTGCTAACAGGTAATCAATTTTTGTACAAAATCGATATATTATTAGGTTCTTTTATATTCTAACTTCGCAAAAACGTTCTCTACATCACATTTTATTTAAAAAAAAAATAACTTTTGAAAAATATATAACAAAGATTCTTTTCCTAGGCATAGATTCGTTAAAACATAAAATCGAAAAATATTAATTTTCTGATGTAAAAGTGAATAGATAATTTGAATTTTGTCAATCAAAATAAATGTTACAGTAATTCCAAGAGTATCAAAGAATAAGATATCCCTGAAAGGGTAGCAACGCCATTGCGCCCTGAGACGCAGCGCGTCGATGCACCTGCAAGCTAACCGTACATCTCGTTCCTTGATGATCAATAACTTGAACCATTCTCGTTCGTCGCTATCAACCTGTCGAATCTTAGGTTAGTTTCCTCCATCTCCTGCGTCCAATCTATAGAAATTCTATTCCAGTTTGCCTCGAACAGTAAATACAGTAGTGATCACTTGTCAAGTAAACATGAAACATTTACTTGGATTGTTTATAAAGTAAAATCGAATTCTAATGTATACAAAGCTATCTACATCGTTGAGAATTTTAATTGAAAAGTATTGATTCATCATATTCCTTTTTTAACTACATACTTTTTAAATTGTCCATATCATGAAAGAAACGATTAAACATTTAAGATCCTAAAAGTGTATTCTGTTAGCTCTGATATCTGTTATAAATAGCTTTGATTGCAATTTGGTCATTCATTTATTAAATATCAATTTCTATTTCTACTTCGTAAGAAAGATGAGATTCAAAATAAACTTATACAAATCAATATCCTCTCTTTTAATCTTTTATCGATGTTGTAGGCGACTATTAACACTAGAACTGTTAACACTAGCACCAAAGGTTTAATACGATTACTATATAATCCTTATAAAAATTGTAACAATAAATTTTCTTTAGTTTCTTCATATATTCATATATTGGGTCATCCCACAAATAACGCGGTTTTTTATATTTCTTTTATATTTAAAAATAAAGATTAACAGGACTCTTAAAATTAGTTATAATGTATAGGTAGAAAATATATAGATAATGAAAAGGAATATATTTTAGATTAAAAACGGTTCTTCCCATTTATGTTTCAAAATAAAAGAAATATAAAAACCGCATTATTTATAGGATGACCTAATACTACTCAAGTGAAGCTATTAATTTTTCAATATACTCGAACGTTCGACACTTTCAAGGCATCAATAATTGCAAAATAAAAAAACTAAAACTCGACATTTTGACAGATGTGACAATTCAAGTGTTAACCCAATTACATTTTAGTCGTAAATATACATAACGTATGTATTAAACTAAAGTACAAAACTTTCTTATTAGCAAAGCTGATCAAGCTTCAAACAAACTATATCCGACCTGTATCACTCCATACAGGTAATTTTTGAGATACGGGAGGAAGAAGAAAGGGAAAGAAGGAAGGGAAGAGGTAGAAAGGCTGGAACCAGCATGTGGTCATGGTGCTCGTAAATTTCAGAGATGCCAGCGATGGGCACGTTTTTACGAGCACAGGAGCGTCGGATAAACGTGGCTCCTAATGTGGGCCTAAACCGATTTATGCGAATTAGAGGTCAGTCGTGGACAGATAATGGCCCCCTTCGGAAACCGAGCAATCCCCTACTCCACCTTCCAGTCTTCCCGCAGGTTTTACGGGGGAGATTAAATGTTATTAATGACTGCGACACCAGTGCACGTACAACATTTTGTTGACCCCTTCCACTCCCCTACAACATCATTGCTTACATATTAATTGTATTACGCAATGTTTCATATATTTTTTTTAAAGTAAATTACAAAGAACCTTTGTATGCTTCCTATTTTTTACACCTGTAATAAAATTTGAAAGCTTCCCGAAGGTTTAATCAACTTTATTGTTACTTTTGTGCTATATTTTTATCATTTATTTGTTTTTGATTGATGAAGTTTAATTGAATGATTTGTTTAATGTATTGAGTAGTTCAATTTTGTATGTTCAACTATCTAACTTAGTTTCACGTGTTTTTTAAGTGACTAATTTAATTCTATGTGTTTTTCGAGTATATAATTTAGAAATATAAAAGATATTACTTTTGAGTAGTATATAAGGTACATTAATTATGTATATAAAATTTCTGACTATAAATGTGTAATATCTTCGTTTGAGACAGATGCAGAGGATATACTAGTCTCAGTTAGTTCCATTTTATTAACCTTCATCCATCACTTAAAAAAAATTGCAACAAAAATTACAGGAAAATCCTGAGAGAAAGCAATGTAAATCCTCAAATATAGTTTCAGATGAAGACGAAATTTTTCTTATAATTAAAAATTACAGAAACATTACTAATTGATTGGAAACATTTTGAAAGTGACAATGAGTCTAAACACGCCATAAATCAGATAACAATGTGAAGCATATCACTGTCACACAGTTTGACTCAAAGCTCATGCAAAAATCCTTATCACCGAGACTCAGATACATGTAGATGAGTACGAGAGATAACGTCGCAAAATGCAGAAATGTCAGCACGCGTTGAAATATTGCTATCGGCACTTGTCCCATCGTGCAAGTTAAGAGTAAAACATTTCTGTATTAATTTGTCAGTGACATGATTTTTACTATATTTACTAATCAACGAAATACAAAAATCGTTTAGACAAATAAGAAAACAGAATCAGCCAGGAAATTAAACTCAAACAGAAATTACAAGTTACCTCGTTATCTCCAGTTAAAGGATTAAAAGTCACAAAGGACTGAAAATTAAAAGACCTAAAAGTAAAGTAAAAATGTAAGAAACTTCCATCAAGGTTTCAATGTTCTTGCGTCCTATATAACCACGTTTACAAACGATGCATAACGTCTACAGTCTAATAATGAGAAGACAAGAGAACAAGAAGGAAACAATTCATTGCCTAATAAAGCGATTACGGAATCATGTTCTCTATAACAGCGTCTTGTATACTCGATCCAAAAGGACCCCTGAACTGTACCTTTTGAGTAATTATCCGACACTGATTCTTGTATACAGAGTGAGTCTCCTAAGATGACAACTTAAAATAACTTGTAAGTTATTCGTTGTACCAAAAAATGTTACAAACAAAAGTTGTTTGATATCTAGGGGAATATACAGTGCTCTAACCTGTTTCTTATTGCCTTACTTTTTTAAGGAGATATTAAGGTCATCTTCAGGTGTTTAAATGGAATGTCATTATTCACATCAGTCATTCAATAATAATTATTCATTTTAAGTTCCACTTTACATAATATTTTTTTACGCAAAATTTGATGAATTATCCGAATTTGAGAAAAAATATTAGATATTCCGCTTAAAAAAACTGCAGGTAACCCTAATATTTCGTTAAAGGAATAAAATAATAACAAACAAATTAGAGCACTATTTGTTAACGTCGTTATAATTTCAAAATTACAAGGTATATTCGTTTTAATACAATTGTTAAAACTATTGAATACATTGTTAATTTGTATTTACAGACTGATATTTCTTAATTTTATGCTACATAAAATGCTGCGAAAAAAATCTGGCTTATCTGTTCTAAGCATAAACACAAACTAGAAAACTACTATCATTTTTCAATGATTACCATTTAACAAATTCTATTGAGTCGTGTAATATGAAATATCAGATTTCATTTACTCATAAATGTTTGTACTCCTGTTGTTGTTATTCCTTTGTGTTTCATAGAACCTTTTAAACATTTCCACTGTCAACTACCAGAGTAATTTTTTGCAAAAAGTTTTTCCAAATTGTACATCATAACTTTTCCTCGCATTATGTTTTGAAAACATGCCACCAACATTCGTATAATTCTCTTATATGAATTCAAACTTGAAAATAACGCTGTGAAAACAGCTTAAAAAATAAACAAAGCATTAAACAATTCTATGAATGAAATGACAGTTGCAACGTTAATTTATAACATTTCATTTCTCTCTCACTAATACTTCTTTTCAAAATGAGCCGCGTAAACCCGAAAGAGTAGTTTACAACGATGTCTTTAAAATGTATTAATTCCAAGCATTCAGAATTGTTCAAAAAAGGAATATATTCATTATTCGTTGCCAAACGCGTTAGCAAAAGTGTATAAAATCTAATAGAGCATATTTTCATTGAATGAAGGTCTTGTAGAAGATCAAATAAGGTTTTCTTTTACCGCAAAATCCGACAGTTCATATTACATGACCTAATATCAATATTAAAATGTTTGAATTAGGTGCTTCTCGCAAATCGAATCGGTCCACTTCAAAGTGTGACAGCCATAAATCTTGAATAATATCGCGGTGACCAGTTCTCAAACAGCTTGAACATTCAATAAACAACTCGAGCGACGAAACCTCCCGAAGGTAAACATTAGAAATATCGTTATGGAAATGGCCGGCAACGGAGTTTCTATAGCGTGTATCGCGACTGGAGTTCCCCATGTAACACAACGTATCGAGTTTGCGGAGTTTACTCGTGTCCCGATATACGTGGAACTCGGACTGCTTCCCAGTTCCTGAGAGCAATTACTCCTGTCTACCATAATTACGCGGCGTTGCACCGGCGTTACAAGGTACTCGAACGTCGCTAGATAAGGTCAGGACACGGTTGCCCCCCTTATCGTCCCTGTTCCTCTCTCTGTCCACCAGCCTTTCATATTCGTCCTTTTATAGGCCGGCGTATTGTATATGATGGCATCCCGATCGATGTAAAAGCAAAATGCATCAATAATAAATAAGCAACTTCTTATAACGTTACTAATTTAAGACTGATTTAATTAGCCGTTATGCTACTAAGTTCCTTCCTTATCTATTACATTGAATTACAGTTGCTTCTCATTACTTCGCCCATGTGAAAAGGTGCTGGCTTAAACGAATCGAAAAATATTGGAATATTAAATACTTATATAAACTTGATATTATAATTATACAATTGTATTTAAAAATCGAACAGCAGAATTATTAAAAAGGAACTGGTGAAAGTTTGCTTTGTACCTAACCCCTTGTCTTATGATTTATTTCTCAACTATGATCGATACAACTACTTTGCCAGTAATAATTTATTGAAAAGAGAGAAATTCTATGTATATTCTACGTCTATGTTTGCTCTAAAGTATAATTATCGGTAACAGAAGAATATTTAATTTGAATTCGTAAAAATTGAGTAATATTTGTGATTGTTAACCTCTTCACCTACAATGTCATGTCAGACTCGTGAGGAAAATTTCAAACTTCGAGAAATCTAATATTAGTTATTTATATTTGTGAAATATAAATTAAATGTTATTGTTCTATTATTAATCATTAATCTTTGAAGTAAACACAGACATGGAATAAACATAAAAATTGTGTCTCCTTCTAATAAATTATTAACGACAAAGTAGTTGCATCGATCATAGCTAAGAAATTAATCATAGGGCAAGGGATTAAATTCACTTTCAAATCTTCACCGCGAATCTAACACGTCGCGTAAGGTAAAGAGTTAACAACTACTCGTGGGCAAGTAAAAATATTAAAAGCGTACCTCGTTTTATTTTTTAAAGTTTTTATTTCACAGAACATTATTCAATAACCTATACTATAAATTCGCACAAATCTACACTAATACTAAACACAAGTATAATATTGTAAGTTGTTAAAAAGATAAATGAAATAGTACAGCGTTCATAGGGTTTGATGCAACATTCCTGCCTAATAATCACACTTTATCGACTTCTTTATAATAGTATCGCTTCACCATATCACGGGGTCATCTCGCGGTAGACCGTTATTGTTTCCCTCTTGCCGATAATAACAGAGAAGGAACAATGTAAAAACAAGCAGTCGGCCAACGAAATGATCAAGGAATCATGTGCAGTGCTCCCTGTAATCACCATCGTTGACCACCAACCGTATTCAAATTTTACTCCTTTCATCAATTTACCTAAAGGCTGGGCTATGCGCATTGCTGCTAGTCATTTTCTACTCACAGAGTGTCAAATGTCTCCATAGCTCGTGTGTCGCGCAAGGGAACATAACTGAACCGTGTTTGGTCGTAACCAGGAACTAACAATCCAGGTTTATTCGACAAACGTGCTCTGGACTTGCGACCGGAGTTTATTCGTGACGCGATCATACGGTTAAAGCAAACTCGGCCGGACACTTTACTAGTAGCGCGGGTCCTCTGTACGTCAATACGGAATATGCCATTCAGAATATGACGGTGTAAACGTTAAGCTGTCTTCTGGAGGATATATAGTTTGCTGCAGAAGTCTTGGGAAAGTATGAGAAAAGTTACAAATTAGTTTGAACTAATTGTTACGTCGCAACAACATACATATACACATTTTCCGTATACACTGTAAAGCAGTTCGAAACAATCTTTAGGTCGTGCAGGTATAAGGCAAGGGGAGATTTCGAAAACTTGGAAATACCCAAACCGCTGCCTTCTGCAACTGGTTTTTTCTAACT